CTGGCGCCTTAGCCGCTTGAGCCACAGGTGCCGAGCCAATTATTGTTTTTTTTTAACATTTTTTTTATTAAATGATAGCTGTATACATTAATGCAAACATGGGGTACAGTGTTTTCATATACAATTTGAAATACTTTCATCAAGCTGGTTAATATAGATTTCATGTCATTTGCTTAGTCATTATGTCAAAACATTTATATTCTAGTTCTAGAAAAGTTCACTTGTACCCTTGTTAGACAGATATATAGGTGATCTTTCCAGTCACCCTCCCACCACCCAGCCGCCCTTCTCCCCTCTCCTTCCCCACCCCCCCCATATTCTTGGGCTGGAATTAAGTTGTATCTTTCATTTGAGAGCTATAAATTAGTTTCATAAAAGGGCTGTGTACATTGGATACTTTTTCTTCCATTCCTGTGATACTTTGCTAAGAAGAACATTTTCCAGTTCCATCCATGTAAACATGAAGGAGGTAAATACTTCGTTTTATTTAGGGCTGCATAGTATTCCATTGTGTACATATACCACAGTTTATTGATTTCTTGAAGAGTTCTTTTATTTTAGATTTTTCAAAAATGTTGCCCTTCATGCTTTTAATATTGTTCTTATAGCTTTGGATTAAAATTAACATGTATTTATATTCTCAGAATAAACTAGGAAAAGTGACCCAATAATCTCACTTCTAGGATTCTCTCTTGAGAAAATAGACTAAAATGTGACCTAAGATGTATGTATTCATTAACTGAAACCTGATTTACAATATTCAGAATACTGAAAAATCAATTTCCAAATAATAGAGAATAAGGTGAATAAACAATGGCAAATCCATATGATAGAACATGTATAGGCATTATAATGTTTGTAACATTTTAATGGCATGGGAAAATAGACACAATAGATTTGTGATAATAGAAGGAATCAAAACTATATAAACCATATGCTCTCATATCTATTAATAGATTTTTATAAGCAAAGAAAAATATTAATAGATATATCAAAATGTACACTGCAATTTATCTGTGAATGATATTTATTTATCTTGTAATTTTCTGTATATCAAAATTCCATAATATACATAGTTTATAGAAAATATTTAAATATACTTAAAAGTTTTCTCTTATTATTGAGCCCAAGCCTGTTTGCTATTATTTCACTCATTCATTCAACAATGTCTACACATGTCAACTAATTCTGCCTCCTTTTCACTCCTCATCTTTCTTTTACTTGTCCTACAGAGAGACACTACCACCCAGAACCCTCATTTGTTAGAAACCCTGCCAGCTTACCATCATTGTACACAGTGCCCTCATAATCTTTCTTATAAAACACCCCATGGGGCTGCATGCTGAATGGCTGGGAGGCACGATTGTAGAAGACCACCTGGATAGTGTCACCCACCTCTGCCCGGATCACTGGCCCTAGAAAATTGAAAGGAGAGACAATGAGAATGAAAACAGAGATGAAGAAGGAAATAGGAGAGATACACGAAGAAAAGGTGAAAAGGACAGAAAACCTTTCTTTGCAATAATAAGAATAATGCCTTCCCAATATATTTCAACTTATAAAAAGTACCATAAAATTCTTTATCTCATTTTGACTGTCAAATATCTTTCTAAGGCATACAGGGAAGTTGTTATTATCTCTAGTTTACCAATGAGAAAACTTCAGCTCAGAGAGCTAGAATTTCCCCGAATGCAAATGGCTTATTAGCTGCAGAACCAGGACCTGAGGATAGGACTTTCTTTCACCTTACTATCAGGTCCAATCCTATTTCTCTTAAGTTTGTTGTCCCAGTTCTGATAGTATCTCCTAGTGAGACCCATCTAATAACTGAGCTCACATCAATCTGAAACTAATTCTGAGCAAAGAATATCATTATATTCTCTATCCAGGCCCTGGACTGGATAAGCTAGCTATCAACAATTACTGGACTTTTCTATGCTTCACTACCCACCAACTCTAACCTAGCTTGAGACACCTTTAAGTCCAACCAAAAGTACCCAGACTAAGCACTTATACTGGTTCTAACTCTAAGTCAGAGTTCCACATCTCAATTTTCACATGTAATGCTTACCCCTGCTTAAAGACTGGAGAACCATGTAGAACCTCAGCCAATGGTAATTCTTTCATACTCACCACCATCCCTTTTTCCAATGGTGGTTTTTATCCTCTTGACAGCTTTTTATTCAGCTGATGTTGGGTCTATTGTCCATTTTCAGACCTAGAGTCAATTGGCACACACCTATCCCCAGAGTATGGTCCATTATGTTAACTTTCATTTCCAAAGTTTTCCCTATATCTGACCTATTTTATTTCCTGGTTCCTCTATGTTACTAAACCACATCTAACTTTGCCATTCTCTTTGAATATTGTGCTTCTTTAGACTTTCTGTATATTGTCTCCAGAAGAAAGCCTGGCTCTGCTCAGAGTCATAGCAGGCATGTCTGTATTTCATGCCAATCTTCTCCTGGTTCTAGATTATCAAGAACCTGGACAGTATGACCTCTGTATGTAGTCTTTCAAGAATACAAAGGTACCAGATGTTCACTAAGAAAGAGTCAGTGGAGATTCATGATGAATAAAAATAAATCCAAGGCTCTCAGAAGTCCTACAGCAAAAAACACTATTAGACTACTTTTGACATAGTGTTTTTCACATATATTCAGACCCAAAACTTTTTTCACAAAATAATTATCTCTTGGGACTCATTTCAGAAAATATTGTTCTACAGTGTGTCCTTGTACTAAGGCATGTCTAAGCTCCAGTTTCTAAGTTCTTCTCATTCTTCTGGTTCTAGTCAATGAATTTTATAAGTTAAATATTCCTCACCCAGGATTCCAAGATGTTTTTCTTCTTCAAGCTGCACCTTCTCCTGAAATGTCTCATCTTGAAAGGCTTCATACCGGACTTTCCAGTAAGTGCCTCCAATTCTGCTGGAACTCTTCTGGAAGAACTTTTCTGAGTCACTGGCATGTAAGGAGGAAAATATCATATGACTTCACTGGGTATCAAATAGACTCCCACATCACTCTTTGGATCTTTACAGTTAGGAAGGATATCAGAGACAATCCTGCTTAATTCTCATCAGTAAAGAAACATCCTTGGGTAATATCACTATTACACCTTCTGCTTGAGCCCTTCCAAAGAGAAGGAACTCATTTTTGGAGGAGACAATTGCTCTTAATATTTAACAGTTTTAAATTATTATTATTAGATTTTTTCTTTATAGTAAGCTGGAACATTCTTTCTTGTTGATTTCCATATACTGAGACCAGTTATGCTCTGCAGAACTGCATAGTGTACATTTGTCCTTAAACACCAATCAAGGGAGTGGGGTACTGACACCGCCAATGGTCTGTTTTCATCAGTTCAGTTGTCTGGCTTCACTAGATGTTCATAAACCAATTCAGTAGGGTCTGTTCCTGACCCCCTAATTGGTATGTGACTGTTAACTATCATTAGATACTAATAATCCTAATGAAAACACACTAAGTTAATAAGCCCAGCTGGAGTTTATGGATGCCATGCTGAAATTCAAGAGTCAACTTTCCTAAGTTTCCTGCAGATCACTCAATTATTTCCCACTACAAGAATAAACATAATAAGTGCCCTAGGATCTTCCCCATGTCCTTTCCTCGTCATTTACTAAGTGCTTCTTCTGTGAAAGCCCAGCATTGCTGATTGCCCCAGTCAGTTAGTATAACTTAAAACCTAGCAACTGATCAGGGTACTAACCTCCTGCTCTATACTTCCCACATGGATTAGGCAGAAGAACCTGCAGAAATTACTTCTAAAGGATAGGCATGGAAGGGCCACAGGACAGGTCATTTCCATTCTTCCTAAATTTCTCAGAGTGATTTTTTTAATATCCCATTCAATTTTTCCTTCAAATTATGGACAAGAAAGGAGGAGCAAGGAGATAAATGAGTAAAATGAAAAGCTGGAGCAACTCCATTTCAACTGATGCAAGAATTCTCCCGCCTGGCCTTTCCTTTCTGAACATGATCCAGAATTGTAGCAGGACAAACCAACCACAAGCTATGCTTAGACACTTTCCTGTGGATACTAAAGACCCTGCAAAAATCTTTGCTACTTATAGTTCTTCAAAAGTAAGCCCTCCAATGGGCCACAAGAACTTTGCTAAGAGTTACAGCATGTAACTCCAGGCAGACAATGATTCAGACCTCCAAGTGAAGTGAAATATTTCAGGTACTCAGGGATGACCCAGGAGTAGGGATAAGAAGTCCACTTCTTCTTACCTGCCTGGCTCTCTCAAACTCTTCCCAGTACTCCCATCATGCCCCATTGGGCCATAGTCCCATTGTATCTCATGGGCCTCAATGAAGTACTGCCGAATTTTGCCTGTGAGCAGGTTCTCAGGAGGGGCCGTGGAACAAGACATGACTCTGTAGAGTGCCTGCATGCCGTCTGAAGGAAGAAAATCATGGTTGGGCCAATTCTACTCAATAGAACTTCTATACCACGGACACACCTTCCTCCTCCTGCTAGTGTTTCCTCCTCCCACTCTCCACTAGTCCCTTTACACCTACCCCAAATTGGCCACTTTCTCTCAGTCCTATAAAGCCTAACTGGGAGAAAGAGGGGATTCAAGTGGTAATTCAAGTACTTTCACTTGTTCCTACCACCACTTACCTGTTTACCAAATCCTAATTCCTGCCTTTGCAAAAGGCTTACATTGTAGCAATATCAAAGAGACTGAATGTAGGGGATGTGAGTTCAAGATCAAGCTTTCCCATTATCTGTAGACCTTAGTCAAAGCACTTCCTCAGGCTGAGCTTCCTTCTTTTCTAAATGGGGAGAATAGGAAAATCTACCCCATTGGATTGGTAAGACTATCAAATTGAAAAGAGGAATAAATTATTTAAAAACTGAGAAGTTCTCAAAATAATGGAAAATCTATATTCTGGTTTCTCTTTAGATCATATAATTTTTTTGTCTTTTACCAATATAATAGAAAATCTGCTATCAGTGGAAATGAAGTTTAAGACCTGTGACTGTCAGGAAAATGTAGACTCCAAATAGTGTCTTCAAATGCTGAAGATACTACATTGAGTCGCATGGCCATGGATGACACTGTCTTATACAGTATGGACAGAAGGTTCGGGTGCAATTTAAAATAATTGATATTTTATTGTATAGATATTATTTTTAAATAATTGATATTTTAAATTGCAGACGAACCTTATATCAATCCTGTTGTTTGCAACTTAGAGGTAATTTGGCTACATTATCTGGTTAAGAGTCTCACAACACCTCAGGAAGATTCAAAATTCATAAATTAGAAATCTGAAGAAGAAGGGATATTCACTTTTGTGGAACCTGTGTTATGGAAGACCCTGGGTCAGGTGCTTTACATACATTATTTCTATCAATATTTTCAACCATTGCATTAAGTAATTTTTTAAAGTCCCCTTTTATTGAAGAAGAAAACCAAGGTTCAGCATGATAAAGTTGCTCAAGATTGTACAAATAGTCAGCAGCACATTTGAGACTTAAACTCCCATCTTTAAACTATAAATAAGTGCTCATTTTCTTCTCTTCTATCTACTATCCTGGAAACATCATCTCCCTAGTCTCTAAAATTCAAATTCACATCTTGTCCCCAAATTCTCATTACAACTTTATGAGGTAGACATTATTTTTTCTATCATTAGATGAGGAAACAGACTCAGAGAAAAGTGACATGACTTATCAAAGGTGACTAAGTAATTGGTGAAACAAAGATTTCTTTTTTGTTTTTTTCTTCATTAAGTTATCTTTTACTTTTTTATTCTTTATTAAATCATAACTGTGTACATTGATGCATTTATGGGGTACAGTGTGCTGATTTGATATACAAAGGGGAATGTTTACATCTGACTGATTAACATAACCATCTCCTATCCAGACTTGTTTTGCTCTAAAGTCCATGTTTGTTCTATCATGCTAAATTACTGACCCCAATCCATATTCATACTCTCTTACCCAGGAAACTTGTGGGCTGAGAACAGACCTGGGTGATGGAAGATAAGTAATTGTCTTCTGTTGAGTCAAACCTAACACACAAGACTCACTTCCTGCAAGTCTATAACCCCTTGTCCACTCGAATCTACTTACACATACTTACATATCATTTCCCGGATACCCTCCTAAATAACATCAAGTAATTCTAGAAAGTGAGAGCTAAGAAAGGCTTTAAAGACTATTTAGACCAATTCCCCTATTTTACAGATGTGGCATATGAGGCCTAGAAATCGGAAAGGACTTTCCCAAAGCCATTATAGTGAGTTTTTCACAAAGCTGAGACCACAACTCAAACCTTCTATTCACTTATGTAGTGCTCTTACTATTCCCTTATAAGTTCTTCCTCTCCTCTGATGCTCCCCAATGCATTGTTCCCTTATGCCATTACTTTAAGTCTTATCCTATTGAAAACAAAACTTGCAACTCACACTTCTGTTGGGTTAGAACTAGAGTATCATCACTTACCCACAATACTCTATAATCTCCTGCAGAAACCATACTCTCCTTAACTAATCTCTCCCTTACTACCTGCTGAATAAGATGAAAACAGCCCCAGGTCTTAAGTATTTAGAAATCTAAGAAAAAAAAAACTTGAAAGCCTACCTATTCATCTTTAGGCCATCTAATGTTTAAGATAGGAAGATAAAGCACAGAGGCAAGCATAAATTACCCAACAAGTTAAAGACAGAGACAAGAAAGAACCTGGGTCACCCAACTTCTACTCTAGTGTTATTCTTTTTACCAAGATGCTTCACCTGAAAAACCTATATTACGACTACAGATGAGAAACTCAGGTTCCTGTTGACCATTATTATTCCCTGTCTCCTATACTGCAAAGAAGAGACAGGTTAAACCTCACCTTGAAAGTGACTGTTCACTTGACAGCTAATTAACCAGGTGCCAGGCTCCTGGGGCACCATCTCAGCAGTCACAAAGGTAGCTGGAAAGATGTGAGCCACATCAGTACGATGTCCACGAGTGGTTAGCATCTGTCCGTGGAAAAAAGCTGTGTGGACATCCACTTCATTGCCCATGCCAAACAAGTGCCAGGCCACATGCTTCTGTGCACACATGTTTAGCTCTGGTAAATTCCCAAAGACAAAGCCATTGATTGCTACAAAAGAAACCCCCCCCAAAAAATATTAGAGTTAGGAAAGTACACCCAGATGTGAGAAGCCTTAACATTAGGCAATAAGGTAACATTTAGATGAGGCTTTAAAGAGCACACTGTACTGACCATATGTATTATCTCACTAAATTCTCACAGACTGCCCTGAAAAAATAGGCAGATATCATTAGTCTTATTCAAAAAAAATGAGGAAACTAAGACTCAGAAAGGTAAAGTTACTTTTCTTTCAAGTCCACAGAACTATTAAGTAGTTAAAGCCGATATTCCAAACCAGTATTCTGAGGAAGCTATCTAAAGAATGATGTTAATTTGCAGGCTATTCTTTCCTTTTAGTCAGGTTTCCTTCTGAAATTTCTACAGGACAATGGTCACATTAGCTGACTAGGAAAGCTGTTGCAATCAATTGGTATAAAACTCAAGGGAAATTAGAGCTGTCCGAGCCATCCTTTACATCTTACCTCTCAATGTTGCCCCCCCCCACTTTGGGACTGTCTGGCATTGAGCCTACTCCTGTCACCAAAAGTAAGTAAATAACTTCCTTAATTAAACAAAAAACAAAATCAAGTTGTTTCTACTCCCCAAATCAGTTTTCCACTCATGCCGCAGGGCTTCTTTGCCTTTTGTTTGTTTTTAATTTAATTAATATGGTCCCTTTGCACAAAAGCCCAGAATAGGGTAGGGAATAGAAGCAAGGTAGCTTAAAAACAATCATTTTTCTCCACAAAGTAGACAATTCTTCCAACTTATATCCTTTTGAAAACAATGCAATGTTAATCAATTATATCAGTGGACAACCCTAACCAAAGTGATTGAGCATACGTTATATAACTTTGGAGTCATCAGTTTCTGCTATTCCATATTATGAGACAGGATAGCCTAGTGACAAGAACACAACCTACACAGTTAGGAAGATCATGGTTGGAATTTATCTGTTGTATAGTCTTAGGAGCCTCAGTGTCTTCATAGGTACAACAGGGAAAAGTCATCTACTTAGTAGTCCTTGTAAGGATTAAAAAGGATCAAATATGTGAAAAGACCCATCAAGCAGTAGGCCCAGTGGAGATCTTCCATCAGTGTTCACTGTCATAATATGGCCACCTCCTCCCAGCTCACCGTGCATCCTGTTGCTTTCCTGAAAAGCTTCATCTTCTTTGTCCACTGAGGCAGGATCTGAGCAGTAAGTAGCAATGTTCTCATCAAGATGCCAGCTAAGGTTCTCATCTACCACACTGAAGAGCAGAAAGAAATCATGTTCCACATCCTGGCGCTGAGGAGGGGAGTTCCCATCCAGGGCTCCTTAAGGGAAGTAAGAAACATGTTCTTGAGAACCTTCCTTCCTTAACAATCATAAGCTAAAAGGGATACTTATAAGAAAGGAGTAGTAAGATAGAGTGCCTTAGAATCTGTTCCAGGCTGGCTTGATGGCTCACTCCTGTAACTCTGTACTCTGGGAGGCCAAAGAGGGTGTTCTCTTGAGTTTAGGAGTTCGACGAGCCTGAGCAAGAGTGAGACCCTGTCTCTACTAAAAATAGAAAAAAAAAAAACAGCTGGGTGTTGTGGTGGGCTGAGAAATACTTGGGAGACTGAGAAAGGAGAATTGCTTGAACCCAGGAGTCTGAGGCTGCTGTGAGCTAGGCTGATGCTATAGCATTCTATCCAGGGTGACAGAGTGAGACTGCTTCTAAAAAACAAACAAACAAACAAAAAACCATTAAAAATTCATAAAGTCTTTCCCAGGCCAATATGTTCAAGTGTTTTTTCCAAGCTTTCTCTGAGGATTTATACCATTGCTTGCTTTAAATTTAGGTCTTTTATCTGAAGATATCAGCCTGGGGAAAGACTTTATGAAGACGACTTCTAGGGCAATTGAAACAACAACAAAAATAAACAAATGAGACTTAATTAAACTGAAAAACTTCTGTACCATTAAGGAGACAACAACCAAAGCAAATAGATAACCCACCCAATGGGAAATAATATTTGCATATTTTGAATCAGACAAAATCTTGATAACTAGACTCTACAGAGAATTCAAATTAATTAACATAAAAAGATCCAACAATCCCTTATATCACTGGGCAAGAGAGATGAATAGAACCTTCTCTAAAGAAGACAGACAATGGCTAACAAACATGAAAAAATGCTCATCATCCCTAATCATCAGAGAAATGCAAATCAAAACCACCCTGAGATATCATCTCATCCCAGTGAGAATGGCCCACATCATAAAATCTCAAAACTTCAGATGCTGGCGTGGATGCAGAGAAAAGGGGACACTTTTACACTGCTGGTAGTGTATTCACACTAATACAACCTTTTTGGAAGGAAGTATGGAGAACCCTCAAAGAACTCAAACTAGATTTCCCATTTGATCCTGTAATCTCATTTCTGGGCATGTACCCAGAAGAAAAAAAAATCCTTATACTTATATTAGACTGTTTATCTCAGTTCAAATTACAATTTCCAAAATGTGGAAGCATTCTAAATGCCCACCAACCCAGGAATGGATTGACAAGCTGTGGTATATGTTTACCATGGAATACTATTCAGTCATTTAAAAAAAAATAGAGATTCTGCAGCATCAGTATTAACCTGAATGGAGATGGGACACATTAGTCTTAATAAAGCATCACAAGAATGGAGAAGCAAGAATCCTACGTACTTAATTCTGATATGAGGACAATTAATGATTTAGTACATGGTGGGGTATGGAGGAAGGAGATAATCCTATGTACTTAATTCTGATATGAGGATAATTAATGACTTAGTACATGGTGGGGTGTGGAGGAAGGGGATAGCAGAAAGAGGGAAGCAGGGAGAGGGATTGGGGGATCACGGTGTGTGACACATCTTTTGGAGGTGGGACACAATTATAAGAAGGACTTGAGCTAACAAAGGCAATCAATGTAACTTGGATTTTTGTACCCTCAACAATAAAAAAAAAAAATTTCAGAAAGAATCTGTCAGCAATAGAAAAGCAAATAACAGCCTTCTGGTACTAATTTATATAATGTTTCCAAGTTCTCAAGATAAAACCACCAATTCAGTTAAAATAATTTCCTTCCACCAACACTGCCTATGTCTTTAACCTGACGCCTAAACCTGACCACATTTCCTGCAACACTCTGGTCTTCAGGCCTGACTATTCGTTGAGCATATCCTATTCCCAACCAAGTCCTTAATCCTCCCCAAACCTAATGGCTACACTTTCCATCTTATCCATACCTAAACTCTTTCTTTTAATTTATTTTTGAGACAGAGTCTCATTCTGTTGCCCTAGGTAGCGTACTGTGGTGGCATAGCACACAGCAAACACCAACTCTTGGGCTTGAGCAATCCTCTTGCCTCCGCCTCTCAAGAAGCTGGGACTATAGCTCCCCACCACCATGCCTGGCTTGTTTTTTCTAGTTTTTTGTTGTTGTTGTTGTTGTTGTTGTTGTTGTTGTTGTTTTTAGTAGAAACAGTTCTCTCTCTTGCTCAGGCTGGTCCTGAACTCCTGAGCTCAACCAATCTATCCGCCTTGGCCTTCCAGAGTGCTAGTATTACAGAACCAAGCCACTGCATCTAGCCATACCTACGCTCTTACCACACACCTTACTTCAATGTTACCTGACTCCCATCATGACTAATTAATTTGAGAATTAAAAGTGAGGTAATAAAAAAAAAAAAAAAGAAAGACGAAAAGTTGTTTTGTTTTTCAGGGAGTTATTTTAGGAAAAAAAGTAACAAAATAGAAAAAAAAATAGTGGAAAGCAAGTTTGGTAAGGTTTGTTCCTGCTAATAAACAAGGGTGCTGAATTAGCACTCCTTGGACTGCTACCCTATATGTAGGTGATTCAACATCACTGCTTCCCCAGATACCCCACACTCTATCTCATAGCTCATCTTTGGGGCCTGTACCTCTTTTACAGGTGATGAGAGGTCCAATAAGACCAGTTGCAATGTCTCGTGGAGCATCCACATGAGAATGGTAGATCCAGGTGAGGCACGCTGGGTCAGCATTGGTAGGTGCATGGCCTTCTGGAATGCTCCAGTTGTAGATATGACTTCCCCCCGGGAGAACAGAATCATCAGCTTTCAGCTTTCCAGAGGAGCCATCTGGGTATAAGGAGCCTAGAAAATAAAAGTGCACATACCCAGTCCTAGAATGAGTGAGTGGGACCATGGCAAATGTAGAAGACAAGAGAGGCACAATATATGGGGCACCTAGGCCCAGACCTATAAAGCATAGGGTTCTAAGGTTCAGAGTAGCATTCTTTACAGCCAAAGGAGAAAACAAATTCAGGAAATATTTATCAAAAAAAAAAAAAAAGTCCTCATATCATCGATGAGTTGATGAGTGGAGAGGCTATAGCTACTGGGAAAGATCTTTGATCAAGAAAAGGGCTGCTTGGCATGATCTGGTAGTGCTCTAGTACAAAGCTGGTGGCATAGAAGCAAGGTAAAACACAGAATTCCCTCCTTTCAAGCACTCCCTTTGGAAAACAAAAAGCAATCAGAATTACACTCTCAAGTCAACTTAATGATTAGTTGGTCTACTTCCCCAGTGTATGGAAGAAAAAACTGAGGAAAAGTAACTTATCCAATAAAGGTCATGCAGGGAATTAGTGGCCCTTCTGACTTCACAAATACCCTCACTCACTGTTGTCTATCTCAAAGATCATTGGGCCAGGGATAATGGGAGTTACAGAAGTACTCCCAAACAAACTGAAGTACTTCTTAAGAAAAAAAAATAGAACTCACTGAAGACTGTGACACTAGGCTAACAATCTCTCATTCATAGCACTCTTTTCTTTTTTTCAAGTATATTCAAGTATCTTATGGAAATGTCATTCAAATATCTCCTTGTGATAAAAGGCAGATTGTATCTTCACATTCCTGATAAGAAATCTTAGGCCCAGAGGGAAGGTGATAACTTGGCCAAGTCACATAGTATGTGAATAGCAGAAGTAATACTAAGACCCAGCCATGTTTACTATAAGCAGAGTATTTGCCACCTCAAATCAATTAGGAAAAAAAGACAATCCTTTCTACCAACTCTTTCCTCAGATATAATAAAGGAAACCTATTTGTTGAGAATGGGAGAAAGAAAGAGTGGAATGGTTTACCTTCAGAATCCTTTTCATAGAAAACACCATGTGGGTGTATGGTATAAGGACGAGTAGCAAAATTCTTCAGGTGGATGAGGATGACATCCCCCACCTCAGCCCGTAACACTGGCCCCAGGAAGCCCAACCAGGCAGGTTGGGCCACTTCATCAGTATATGAGTCATCCTTGTATTCTTTATAGATGGTCTTCTTGTAGATTCTCCCTATCCGGTTCTTGTCAGACTTTAGGAAGCTAGAAGCCACTCTGGGAAAGACAAAAAGAGAGATTCACAACTTTGCCACCATCTTCAAACTCCTGGAGGTTTCTTTTCTCTATTTAAGACAAAACAAGAGAAAATGGGATTGTACTGATCAAAACCTGAAATATTTTTATTTAATTATTAGTAAACAGGAAGCATACGAAAGTCCTGATATTTGAGAGCGTTTTTACCCTACCAAAAAGGCAAATTTACTTGGTTCAACATATAATATAGCAATAGGAAGGCAACCAACTAGGGACTAACTCTTTATAAGAGGTCAACCCTTCATTGATGTGGCCTTACTTAGCATTGTCTTGCTATATATGGGAGGTCTTATTTTCTCTCTCTCTCTTTTTGTTTTTTATATGGGAAGTCTTAGAGAAATAGTGGTTATGACCACAAGCTTTGGAGCCAAGTCCATTGGGTTAAATGCCAACTCTACCACTATCAAATTTGTGGAACACTGAACAAGTTATTTAAGTTCTCTGTGCACAGCTCCCCACCCATAATATGAATATAGTTACAGTTCCTAAGATGGTTATTATCAATGACTTAAAAGATTAAAATAAATAAAGACCTTAGGATAGTGCCTGGCAAATAGTAAACACTCAGTATATGTTGACTGTTACTCCAAAATATTAGGGATAGTGGATAATGAAGTTATTCCCTCAAGGATAATTTTAATACAAAGACTCTGTAACTCTAACACTAGATAGATTATGTCAAAAAAAAGAGAGCAATTATTACTACTATAACTCTTAGAGAGTTCAAAGGTTTTTACAGTCAAGTTTGGAAAACTCTGAAGATTCGAAGAGACAAAGTGAATCATGCTCAGAAAAAATATCTTTAATATATTAACTTACTTTTTCAATAAATATTTGTGTTGCATATACAACTTTCTAAGATAAAAAAAGGTTAATCCTATGGGATCTATGATAGAGCAAGTGATGAGAAGAATACCAGCTTTGCATCCATATTACCCAGATTCAAATTCTACCTTTCTCATTTTCTATCAATTGGATTTGGAAAAGTCACTTGACCTCCATGAGGCTCACTCAGTTCTTTCATCCATAAAATGAGTATACTCATACTAACCTCCTAGAGTTTTTCTGAGAATAGAGACTAACTATGTAAGTTTCCAGTATAGTGTATCACTGTTACATAAGTGATAGCTGTTATTGATTTAAGCTGTTACTTATTTAAGCTGTTATGATTTCCTTGATTCTATGATTTACCTTCTTATTTCACATTCTGAAATCAGTATACAATAGTTATACCAAACTACGGAAGCTACACACATCTTACATGGTATATATTTCATTTTTAGGCCAGATGTCTGTTATTAATCATTAGCATTATAGATATCAATTTAGAATCAAGGAACTATAAAGCCATCTTTGGGATCCTAAAAATGCCACCTAAGTGTGGAAAAACAAATTCTAAATGGGATGTTAGCTTCTGAATCAACTAGCCCTCTTCCTAGGAAACATTCTATCGAGTGTGGCTAGAGAGATAAAGAACCAGCTGCTACCACACCCTGAGAAAGAGCCTCCAACAGGCTACCTCCTGACCTCAAGGGTGCCCCCCAACTCCCACCCTACTACCACAAGAAATTAAACTTACTTGTCATTATCCAAAGGCTGGTTTGTGATGACATTCCTTCCCTTGGGAGCATAGTTCCATTGCACATCCTGAATGCCCAAGTAGTAAACTCTAGTGGTCCCATCAGTAAGTTGGGGCCACAAAGATTGTGTGAAGAGTACAGCCCAGAGAAGGTTGCCTGGCTCCATGGCCCACATTACTCTGGTAAACAGGCAAATAAAACCTGTTGGTGTGGAAGAAAGCGAATAAAGGAGTTTTGCACGTATCTTGAAAACTAAAGAGGCAAGATCCAGATAAAGTAACTGAGAAAGCAAATGACAATTAGTTCAGTATCTTTAACTTACTTGATCCTTTGAGTTCAACAAGCGTTAAATAAACTCCACACATGAGACTTCGGAGAGCAAGGTTAAAAAGTCACCTGTGCTGATAAGTGTGTATCACTTACTCCAGAAGAAAAATATGGATTCATTCCCTTCAGCATATACAAAAGAAGAATGTGCTCTGAACCAAGAATCAGGATACAGGCACCAGAAGCCTGATTGGGCCAGTGACTCACTCGATGCATAAATCAAGGTACTAATTCTCTCTTTGTCTCTATTTTTCCATAGGCAAGATGTGAAGACTTATTTTTACCACTTCCCTTTATACATAATCCTTTATAAATTGTGTTTAAAAACAAATGAGATTTCACCAAAAGATATTTACTAGAATACTTATAAACCCAAAATACAAACATCCAAAATGGTCATGAACAATAGAATCAATAAGTGAGGGAATTGCATTTTATTCCTAAAATTGAATTCTAAATAGTAATACTAATGAAAAAACTAGAACTACACCCAATATGAATGTTTCTCACAAATATAATGTTGTAAAAAGAAAAAAAGACACAAAACAGTACATATTATATGATTTCATTTATTTAAAGTACAAAGTCAGCCAAAGTAATCTATGCTGGCCAAAGTAAGAATAGTGTTTGCTTTTGAGGTAGGGCTCAGTTCCTGGCAAGGGTGATGTTCTATTTCTTGATCTTCATCCTGGATATATAAGCACACTCAGTTTGTGAAAATAAATTGAGCTATAAATTTAGGATTTGTGCATTTCTGGATGTGTGTTATACTTCAAAGTTAAAAGGGAAGTAAAAATAAATGATAATATAAGAAGGCAATATTTTGAACTTCTAAGAAGTAATGTCCTCTGATTCCTAAAGCTATGCACAGGTCTAATCTCGAGTCAGAAACGGACCCAAGATTGTAGACTCTTATTTCAGTACATAAGCCAAGAGGTTGGACTTTTGGGAACCGTGAGGAAATAGCCATTGCACACAAAGATACAAACACAGAAACACAGAAAATATTATGTAAGCACACATATATATAACACTTTCATATATAGGCACCCACAGTTTTACTAAAAAGCAGAGATGTGCACACTTTCCTTTGTGCTCTACCACAGAGAGCCTCAGTCACTTTGAGAATAATATTAATAATATATTTATATTTATTGTGTGTACTCTGTGCACCCATTCTAAGTATTTTACCTAGATTTAATTATTTAATTCTCACAACCACCTTATTAAGTACATGCCATTCATTATTATCTCCATATTACAGTGGAGATACTGCAGAATGGATGCATAAAGTATTTTGTCCAAGGTCATTTAGTTAACAATTGGTCGAGTTAAGGTTTGACATCAGTTTTTATGATTTTAATCACATGTATATACACAGAGAACATGCATATGTCTTTAGCTACAGCCATATCTAGGAAAAAACACATAAACTCTGATACATGGAATTACATATAGTTATGATCATTTTCAAAGGAGACATATATACTCAGATAGGCAGAGATGCACCTAATAGATTAAGTTCATGGTAATGAAGATGTAACTACCATTCATTAAGAGATTAATGCATACTAAATACCATGTTCAGTGCTTTATGTAAATTATTTCACTAAATCTTCAACCCAAACACATGAAATAGGCACTGTTAATCAAAAATAGTGAATCAAAGCTATGTACAGACTCACATATAGTTAGGAAATCCCCAAATATTTATCCCAGCTAGGCTCAGATATTTACCCTGATTAAGAAACAGACCTACAAACATCCTTAAAAATTCTCAGACCCCTCAGTACACAGCAGTGATCCTTAGTTTCAAATGTAATCCTTAGTTTCCACATTACATTTGGCACAAAGCACTTGATGTTAGGAAGAACCTGTTTCGGGGTTCTTGTTTCCAAAACCAGGTTCTCTCATTGACCCATTGTATGTCCCTGAGTATTACTTAACCACTCTGAACCTAACCACTGTTTTCTTAAGTGGGTATAATATTATCAGCATTGAAGAAGTAAGTCAGAAAGTTCATATGAAAGGGCGCCAGGATAATCAGCGTTTAGAACATAGTAGACAGTTACTGCCGGTTTTCTTTATTTCCTTTTCCCTCCTGGTTACAGCTTAGTATAATAAATTTGTTTTTATACTTTTCCCCACACAATACTTTCTATGTTTCTATTCTAAGGTCAAACTTAAATAGAAACTGTTCAAAAAGGCCACCTCTGACCTCTCCATATCAATTTCTCTAAAGAACTACTTAATCTCTATTGGACCCAATTAGATTCTCAGACTTTGTATTATTGTTACCTTTCTGTCTCATGAGCTGCCTTGTGAATGTATTTGTTTCCCAGATTGGACTATGGACTCTTTGAGAGTGGATGTCATGGCTTAGAGTTCTTTGTGTGTTTGTTACCAGATGTGATGATGAGGATCCAGTAGGTAGATCACAACAGATAATGTTAAAATGACACAAAGAGGCATAAGCACACATTTTCCCACCTGTTGGTTCTAGTTCAAGTTCTGCCACTGATTCAGAGTGACTTTAGGCAAGTTTATTCACTTTAGTGAGCCTAGTTTCCTCACTTATAAATAATCGACTTTAAAGAGGTGGACTATACAGTTCTTGTCTTTGGAGGTTATTGAAGTTTGATAATCTAATGAAATGCACAAGTGCAGAATGACATAAATATGGTAAGTAAAGAGTTCTCAATGAGTCTATCCAATTCTCACATGCTGCCAACACTCATATTCACTGAAGAATCACGGGTATAATCACATTTACCTATGTACAGTACTACATATGGTCACACAGATAGCCATCCTTTCCTTGAAATCCTCAGCAGGGAGGGAGTGTTATTGGTTCATTTCATGTCTGAATGCAACATAAACTTCCTTGAAGCTTCCTTCTCAGAGAAGTGTCAGCAAGGCAGTTTTACCTTGTACTCATCTATCTAGATACAAAACTGTCCCAGGTAAGAGTTCCATAATTGGAAAAGTATGTGGCAGACTTAGAAATGTTCCTGGGAGAGACTAGAACAGACTTCCAGAATACATTGAACAAAGGATTAAAAAGTGGTGACTGTGGCGGCTCCTGTGGCTCAAAAGGGTAGGGCACCAGCCCAATATGCCAGAGGTGGCAGGTTCAAACCCAGCTCAGGCCAAAAAAAAAAAAAGTGGTGACTAATGGCCTGAAGGGCCTGAGACTATAAAATATTGGTGTGTGTCAGAGGGAACCATCTAACATTCTCCTAGCAGAAAGACAGTTATCAATGTGTTTTACCTATCTGCCATCTTATTTAACTCTCAAGATCTTGAGACACAAGGATTGCTTTCTCCATTTTGTTTCAAGGGCACAGCTTTGGAATTCAGCCACCTAAATTAATCCTCGCTATAATTTTCATGACTGTGCAACCTGGAAAACTTCATTTCTCTGGCTGCAGTTTCTTCATATTTAAAATGTGACTAATACTATTAGAAACTCATAGACTTGTTGTGAGGATTAAATGAATTCACATCTATAAGTGCATAAAACATAAATAATTGCTTAAGTGCACAATTGACCAAAAATATTAGTGGCTATAATTATTACAGATGAGAAAATAGGTTAGAAATGAAACTTGCCAAGGTCATAAAGATTTTCCATTTTATGGATAGCCACAAACACATAAATGTTCATAAGTTTCCATATACAGTGACACACACTATCTATACAAACATATATACATGGTTATGATAATGCACACATCCCAGTCTGTGATTGTTATGTCATTAGAAGCAACCAGAATGTTTCAGTCAGATGAACCTAGGTATGAGTGCTGTTTTAAGCTGTGTTTAAATGAAATAAATTTACATAGCATCCAGGGGCTTAGTAGGTACCTGATTTCTAAGTACTGACTTCCTTCTTTCCTCTTCATAGCTGAATTTGTTATTGATATTGCTGTAGTTGCTGAATTTGTTTTTATCATACACCATAAGAACAAAAGAAAGGGAGAATTCATAAAATTTCCTTATAACTACTTGGATATTTCCTGGTAAAGTAGAAAGAGTTTTGTGTATTATAAAAAATAGATTCTAACTCTAGGTTTATCATTTATTGGTTATATGACCTTAAACAAGTCACCTAACTTCTTAAATACCATTTTCCTCATCTCTTAAATGGGAATATCTTTGTTGAGGCCTCTCATTAGTTTGTTATGAAGATCAAATGAGATGAAAGATGTGAAAGCCATGTGTAAGCACTCTATTGGGGCAAGGAAATTTTTCTCTCTCTGAGCCCACAGAGAAGGGCAAGACTGATGAAAGAAAAGAAATGGAAAATGTAAAGGAGAAATGAAATAAATAATATAAGCAAGAATACTGGGGAAAAGTAAAAAGGTAATTATTTAAAAAGCAAAAGGACAGAAAAAAAGAGGCACTTAAAGAAGGGGGTTAAAAGAATTTCTGAACTACTTGGAATTAGACATAATGTAGTTAATGTACACTTAGACCTTGTTCCAACCTGAAGATAAGGTTGACCAGCATTAAGTCAAGCCTCCCCTGTTTTTACCTTACTTTTCTTTGACCTCAATGTCACCTAGGCCTAGTTTCTATGATCAAGGACAATTTGCATCACTGTGTCCACTAGAATTTGCAAGTTGTTCCTTTAATGTGACAATGCCCTTTTCTTTCCTTCCATCTTCATTCTGGGATAGGCTATATTGGACTAGACAGGCTCATATCATACCAAACAAAGGATTACTAAACAGAAAAAAGGGAATGATGATCTGTTCTTTGGGCCCTATCCTCAGTCTCTTAGCAGCTTTCCTAACAAGAACCCTCCATCAAGATTCTTTTGGTCCTCTGCTTTATTAACTGTGTGATAGAAAACATTAATTTGACGTTAAAGGCCTTGATTCAAATCCCATATTTTATCTGTAATATTTGTGTGCCCTTTCAATAAATCATTTTCACCCAAGCATCGGTTTCTCATACAAAAAATGAGGATGGTATTTATTTCACAGGATCAAGCAAAATAATGGATATTTGAACCCTTATCAAAGGGTTTGCTTGGCATATACTAGATGCTCAGTTAAGAAAAAAAGAATACATTATAGATTCATATGTCCACAAAACCTTTAGAAACCATCTTTTTCAACCACCCTCATGTTATATATAGAAAACTGAGACCAGAGAAGTACAAGGGTTTGCTGAAAGTTAGGCATCTGGTTACTGGTAAAGACAGAATATGAACCCATGATTTTTAAAGGATTTCCTGTAGTTAGATACAGAGTGAAAAATAATTCAGGTATTTACTTTGGGTTAGCTAGCATTTATTGGCTTGCTCTATGCCAATATAGTCTCAAAATATGAAAACAAACATAGCTGTTTTTAAGTGTTTGAATCTCCCATTTATATAGTTCTAAGATCTATTACCTCAGGAAACCCCTCCTCAATCTCTAAAACAGAAGATGAGCAAAATGTTTTGACAAGAAAATGAGCTATTCTTCATGACTCTAGGATTGGCCCTGAAACAATCCAGCCACTGTGGTCCCAGCCATTTTGGTGAGAGAAACAAAAGGAGCCTATTGTTTCCTTTAACTTCCCTGCACACACAAACTGCAAACTTCCTCTAACTTCTCAGCAGCAACTGGCTTTCTGTCCTAGTGGCTAGGATTCTGCTAAACCCAGCTGAATAAAGGGCTTTTTTTTTTTTTTTTTTTTTTTGCACAAGAAGGCATGTGAGATAGGATTTGAAAAGAAAGTAAAGAAAGCTTACCTTTGCTAGATAAACCCCTTCATATTCATGTCAGAGGCTCATTGATGCTGAACTGCAGACCCCAGCTTGGCCTGCCAGCCCTTATCAGTCAGTATCTTGGCTCACAGGGCCTTTCTCATAAATTAAGGCGGGACTCCAATTTGGGGAAGGTGGTGGTGTGGGGGTGGGGGTGGAGGATAGGGAGTGGAGGGTGGAGGTGGTTAATGAGGTGAGCGAGTAGGGTGAGGGGAAGTGCCTTCTATTCCAGAAACTGAACTACTGGAATGTCCTATTCCTTCCAGGATCTGGTTTGGTACAAAACCCGGATGGTTCTTTGAACTTATCCGGGTGTTTTCCAAATCCTGGTTAGGATCTGAGGCAGAATTACAAGGAGATGGGTTTCACTTCTGTTATCACAGCTTTGTAGTTGGTCTTTGCTAAGATCTGGAGAAGAATGCATTGTCAGGATGGCCAAAGCTCTCAGGCATATTCCAATAGCCCCATTTAAGAAATGGAGCCCTTTACAAGAATTAACTAGAAGTACAAAAAGCCTCCATCCCCACCAATTCTTTCCCTTCTTGCTCTGAAGCACAATTATCACCCCAGCTTATTTTTTTGAGGTCATGTCTGCTTGGTGATAGATAAAAAAACAAAGAGATTTTTTTTTTTTTCTTACATGCTAGCCAGGCCTCATGTTAACCAGTTTACACACATTCTCTCATTTAAGTCTTACAATAGTCCTCTGAGATGGGTTCTCTAATTCCACAGAGTGTCCCAAAAGTCACCCCTAAAGTCTCCATACATAAGGAAAATTGGAAATTGTAACTAAATGAACCTTTATTTACAAAATGTTCATTACAAAATTTTACAAAATTTTGTCTACATGTCAGCCACCTCTTTGTAAAAATTTGTAATGAAGATTGTGCAAATAAATGTTTATTCAGCTAAAATTCCCCATTTTCCTTATGTATGATATTTTAGGGGTTACTTTTGGAGCAACCTGCATTTGATGACTGAGGACAACAAGCTCTGAGGGAGAGGTAAGTTGTTTAAGGTCACATACTTAGGAAGTAAAATAGGGGAGAATTGTACTGGATCTGTCTATACTTTTAGCCATAAAACTACCACACTGCGGTGCTTAGGAGAGAAACCAGAAAGTCTGTTTGAGGTAGACAATGAGACTTCACAATCATTTACTGCCTACTGTCCACCAGTCAATGATATATTTTTTAAAATATACATTAGCTCTGCCTCTGTAATTTCTAGCAGATGCTAGAGTAAAACTCTGGGCTTATATTAACATTTTGTCATCTGAAGAAACAGGATGCAGCTAGAAGATAGTCTATATTAACATAGGTCAATGGCCTAAAATTCAAAACTCAAGGAAGACTCAAAATAACTGGAAATACTTAAAAAAATAAAAAGGAAAAATGGACCTTAACATTCCAGGGATAAACGGGCATCTGGATTTTCCTGAAAGCCAAAGACCATCCTTGTTCCTGCTGAAAAGAGAGTGTAGTGAAAAGTCACTGGTCTGAGTCAAGTAACAAAGGTTCCAGGCCCACTTGCTCCTCCAGCAGTAATTTGCTATGTGGCTTTGGCTCAGGCCCTTATCTTCTCTGGACCTCTCCCTGATTTGTAAATGAGAGCTTTAAATTAGATATGAAAATTCCTACCTCTGTACATTTACTTATCTAAAATTCTGTGAATAAAGTGCATTCTACAAATTAAGAGTAAATGAGAAAGAGGTTTTAAAGACACAAAGTATAAGGAAGGAATTGTTGGGGAGTAATTCATGGTGATGAGGCTGAGAAAGCTATGCCTTTTGTAAAAAGACTACATCCACCCACCAGACACAGGTATAGAAAGAGAACAGGTATAATGGAAGTTCTACCACCTGGTATTCTTACGTTGTGATGAGTTGATCTTGGCTAGAAGCAGATGTTGCTCTCCAGGCAGGCTCTAGACATTTTTCTCTCCTTGATTTAAAGTATCTGTAATGAAGTCCAGGTAAGAGAACTTTCAGAAGACTAAGTTGATAGGGCAAAGTCTAGGTCATAAACCATGAGAGGTTATCAAGGATGCCTAGATACGTAGGAGCTATCCCATGGATTGCAACCCAGGCCAAGTCTGGGAAACACCATTAGGAAACACCAGTAAGGAGAAGGGAGGAGCCACCAGTCTGTGCTCCGTCAGAAATGCTTGGAAGCTAGATCATGGCACAGCAACTCCTGGGGATATATTCCTGGCACAGATGTGAACCTTGAAGCTATAGGAGGAAGGTAGAAACCAAACCCATTAAGCCGGGAGCCAAGTCCAGGCTCTAAGTCTTTTATGACAGGGAGGGGAAAGGATAAGGCCTCTGCTCTGACTCATGAAAGACAACAAGAAACAGATCATTATAGACATACTTGAGTAAACAGAGTGAAGACCTTAGTCCAGCTAGGGAAGGCTTCCAGGCTTGTATTATTCATTCACCAATTTCACTGAGAATATACACAGTACCCACCTCTTTATCAAACGTTGGGCATATTTCTGGTGCTCTCTCCTAGGGATCACTTGTAAAACATTTCAGAGTTGATGTCTATGGGCCAAGGATTTGCAATTTTATTTTTCCTGTAAATGGCTGGTTAGGGAATATTTTATTTGCAGAATATAGAGTTTATGTCTGTTATAAATACTCAAATCTGCCATTCTAACTTGTAGGGTCTATCTATATTCCAAAAAGAAAAAAAAAAGAACTTAACTTACAAAAAAATAAGAAGCAGTACTAATTATAGATATTTTTTGCAATGTAGATATTTGCAATAAAGTATCATTATTGAGAACATGGAAATTGGAATCATACCCCCTGTATTGAAATCCTAACTCTGCCAGTTCTTGATTCTGTGACTAAGTAATTTAATCCTTCCAAATCTTAGTTTTCACCTAGGTAAAATGGGGATAATAGAATTACCTATTTTATAAGAATGTTATTAGGACATAAAGTTATACACATTAACTATTTACCACAGTCACTGGTACATGGTAAAGATAACAAGGGTGTTATCATTTTTTTGACTTTTTAATGAAAAAATCTACACTGTTATTTTCTCATTCTTACAAGTCAAGTTGTATTAATTCATAGCAAAGAATGATGTTTCATGAGTCCTGGCTTTACTTTCTAGTTATGCTACAAAAGAGTATATAGTGATCCTGAACAAGTTATTTTACCTTTCTGTGACTCTTTCCTCACTTGTAACATAGAAAAGATTGTCTAAGTTTGTCCTTTTCAAAATTAATTTTGGCAATAAAACCCCTTCCCAAAACAGAATCTTAGTAAACACCTACAATCCTTATCTATGTTAGATAAAAATAGAGCTATTCTAGATAAGGCTGGGAAGAAGACAGGAAATAGGCACGGCCACGGAGACCCAGGGCACTGTGAATTGGGCATGTTTGCCCTTCCAGTCAGCATGGTTAACCCTGGAGGATCAGTAAGGAACCTTTTGGACACTAAAAATAGTTTTGGGAAGCACAAGAGCAAAATGTTCTTCATGAAGCTTCAAGTCTTAAGTTCTCTCACTAATTCATCCTTTCATTTATTCAATCAATATTTCCAGATTGCCAATGTCTTCACCATCATAAGTGCCTGATCCTATGTTGGCTAAAAGAATGAGAGAATCCCAGGGACCCTCATATTGGGGGCAGCATTGTCTAATGTGAGAAGCATGAGGTTTGTAGTTAGAAAGAACAGGGTTTGTAACTTGGCTAGTTCCTTCTGAGCTGCATGACCTTGGGCAAGTCACTTAACCTTTCCAAGCCTCTGGTTCTTCATCTATAAAATAGAAACAATAATACTTCTTTGATTAGAATATTGTGAGGATTAAATAAACTGACATTTTTGTGAGCCCTCAGCAGAGTGCTCAGCATGGTGAGAACCCTCAATATGTGCTCTTTTCCTTCCCATCTTCCCTATGGTAAAATTTCATGGCAGTATCAGGTACCTGATGAAAATAAAAGGCCAGGGAAAGTACCTTGGCATAGCAAATCTAAATGATTTACCTGAGGACCTTCTGATGAGCTTGCCCTTAGCATCTTTTAAAAATAAGGCCTCTGAGAAAAGGTGGAAGGGTGCAAGGAAGAAACAGATGTCTCCCCAAACCTACACTTCTAAAGCCACATGCCTCCCTTTTCACTTACACAATTACTTCTGACCAGTAGACCCCATCATGCTTTGAAAAGGGTTACTCTATTGCTGTGCTGTGTAACTGTCTCAGACTCACTCTGAGGACACTGTTTAGTTCTTGAACTCTGTTTTGTTTTGTTTTTTGAAGCTTTCAGCTCATGAAAAATGTTAGTCTATTTATTTAAGCCATCTCTGCCACAAGCAAAATGATGGAAGACTGGTCATAATTTGATAAAAGAAGGTGAGCATAAAGTCCCATGTACTTTCTCTGGTCCATGTGCAGAGTAATGGTCCAAATCGATGCTGTGGTCCCAATGCCTGGGTAGTGGTCTAGACTCTCTTCATTCACCTTCATAGCTAGTTGGAAGCAGATTCGCATGAGGGTTGTGGAATGGAGGATGGTAACCAACTCCACAGGGAAAGGGCTTGGCCTTGATGTGAAGATAAACTCAGGTCTCTCGTGTTCTCCCTGGTGCAATTTTAAGAAGACCTTCAGCATGCTCACTACTACCCTGGGAAGGGCGACAAAGAAGGTGAGGGCCCTCCACATGTGAACTGAGCCCTCCACGCTGTGGGCACCACTAGATATAGCTCACCCCAGCTGTGGCTGGTACCGACCCAACAGCCCAGAAAGCCAGGACACAGTCGCTGTCACTGCCATTTTTGACCTGGACCACTGCCTGAACTCTGGTTCTTGAATTGCACTTTCTGTCTTCTCCAATCCTCCAGATAGTAGGTTTCAAACTTGAACATGCACTACAATCCCTTGGATGGTTTGTTAAGACACTGAGTTGTCACTTCCATAAATCTTGGGTGATGTCCAGGAATATGCATTATCTGACAAGTTCCAAGGTGATGCTGATGTTTCTAGGCTGTGAATCACACTTTGAGGGAAACTGCTATAAGGGACTGTTGCCCTATCAGCTCACTTGATCTTTGATCTCCAAGTATCCATTCTTTGGACCTAGGTCAAAAATCATATCTTCTTAAATCATATTTTCTTCACCCTCCTGGTACCTCATTCATGTGGAGTCACCCTGATAGTCTTCCCAACATCTTTGCCCCAGACCCTTCCTGCCTGCCTGAGTGAAGCTCATTCTTCCCTGTCTGTTTAGTGAATAGGTCTTCTTCTTCAGCTACCTTCATGAAGCAGGTCTATAAATGTCATCAGTTCCTCCGTCAAACTGTCTTCTACTCTCTCATTTGGCTTCCCTCAGGCTCTGGGAATGGACAAGTATTCATTGAATATTGGCTCTGCCTCTCCCTAAAATGTGTAATCTTGGGTTCTCTTAATCTGAGGTTTGGCATCTGTAAAACCAGAGTATAAAATGAAAATGAAATAATATTTGGAGAAAGGCCTAGCACAGCATCTGTCACATGCTAAGTGATCAGTAAATGTTAGGCTTATTTTTTTCTTCTTCTGCTTTCCTCACACCTGCCTATCTCCACCCATACAACTAAGGAGCTCACAGAATTTAAGAAGGATAAAACAATACATGGATAAAGTATTTCAATAGTATCAAAGACATGATAAGTGAGGGAATAAGATTTATATAAATTGTATAACATTTCAGAAGATAGAGAATTATGAGCTATAGGTGGGTATAAGAATAATTTTCATGAATGACTAAATGTCTTCATTACTATTCTATCTCCCATTTCCCAAACTAGAAATTTGAATGTTATCTGTGATTACTCCCCTCTGTCTCAGTGCTATACTCATTTCATTGGCAAATGCTGCCATATTTATATTCTAAATATCTTTCAAAATCACACACTTCTCTCTATCTCCACTGCCATGGCCTTGTTCTAAAGAACCATCATCTTTCTTTCTTTTTTCCCTCACAAAGCAAATTAGAATATGTTTTAAACTAAATTAAAATAAAATAAAAATGTGTAAGATTTAGAAAACTCCATGCTTAATATAAATTTATACCTTAAAAACATAAACCAAAGCGCAAATTAAAACTAAAATTAAAAAAGAATTAATAATAAAAATAAAGAAAAAATCAACAAAATGTAAAATGCACAAACAAGAAAACAACTGAAACCAAAAACTGGTTCTTTGAAAATATCAAGGTATAATTAATAAATCTCTAACATAACTGATCAAGGAAAAATAAAAAAAATAAAACACAAGTTACCAATATCAATAATGAGAGAGAAAATCTAACTATACCTCTTTTAGACAATAAAATGATAATGAATATTAGACCATCATCATCTGTTAATTGGAACATTGTAATAGCAATAGTCTTCTGATGATTTTTTTATGACTATATTCTTTTTTTTTTTTATGTTTGGGGACTCATTGATGGTACAAAGAACTAGGTTACATTTATCACATTTGTTACATAAAGTCTCACTTATAATTGTGTCCCACCCCCAAAAAGTGTGTAACAGACCCTGATCCCCCACCCTCTCCCTCTTTCTCTCTTTCTGCTCTTCCCTTCACTCACCCCCCTTTCTTCTTCCCTCTCTGTGCTTTCCCCATTCCCCACTCCCATGTACTACTTCATTAATTGTCCTCATATCAGAATGTAGTACATAGGATTCTTGCTTCTCCATTCTTGTAATGCTTTACTAAGACTAATGTGTTCCACTTCCATCCATGTTAATACAAAGGATGTAAAGTCTCCATGTTTATTAATGTCTGAATAATATTCCATGGTATACATATACCACAATTTGTTAATCCATTCATAGGCTGGTGGGCATTTAAGCTGTTTCCATATTTTGGTGATTGTAAATTGAGCTGCAATAAACAGTCTAGTGCTGGTGTCCTTATGACAAAAAGATTTTTTTCCATCTGGGTAGATGCCCGGTAATGGGATTTCAGGATCAAATGGAGGTCTAGCTTAAGTTCTTTGAGGGTCCTCCATACTTCCTTT